CGCCATCTCCTCTTTGCTCGATTTGTCAAACTCACGAGGAGACCATTGAGCATCTCTTTCTGCTCTGCCCGTGGGTTGAAGTGATATGGTTCGGTGGTATGTTGAGTCACAGAATTAATCGTAGCTCTATTTCTTCGTGGGTGAGTTGGCTCGTCAACCTCACTAATTCCACCTTGAAGTCGAAGGTTGAGGTGGATCGAGTGTTATCTTATGTTGCATTCACGTGTTGGCACATTTGGAAGAGTAGATGCAATTTCCTTTTCCAAAACAATTCTATTAACCCAGGAATGTGATTGCTGCCATTGACACCTCTGCCCGTGCATTCCGTGAAGCCTCTAGAGCCTCGGAGCTTATCTCTTCATTGCCCAACCCTGCTGCTCTGGAACCTGCCCGGTGGAGTCTTCCCCCTCCTCCTTTTGTTAAGCTCAATGTCGATGCTAGCTGGGAGCATGTTACAAATTCGGGCTTCTCGGGGGTTGTGGTTAGGGACTCTGCTGGAACCTTTATTGCTGCTAGGAGAAGATGCATTGCTGCTCATTCTGCGGCAGTGGCAGAGGCGATTGCGATCCGTCACGGCTGTGAGTTGGGTGTGGATATGGGGTTCAATTTTGTTGTGATTGAATCAGATTCACAGGATTCTATTTCTTGCCTTAAGGGTAAGACTTCAAATGGCAGGTGGGAGGCTTTTCCAGTGTTGACGAAATGTAAACTGCTTGGAAATTCCTTTCAAGACTGTCGCTGGTCTTGGACTCCAAGATCAGCCAATATGGCGGCATATTGTTTAGCGTCGCGTAGAAATAGGGAGATGTGTGATTTTACTTGGGTCAATAGGCCTCCATCTTCTTTGGTTCATGTTTTATGTAATGATGGACTTCCTTGCCCTCCATGAGTTGCTGTGGTAATAGGAGGGGTGACGCTTGTTGTTGGTTTGTTGCGTCAGTGTCTTTCATCCCCTTGCATTACCCGGTTTCCTCTGTTGTTTGCCTCTGGGTAGGCTTATGTTGTTCCTTTGGCTTCTGTGCCCTGGGTTTAATCGGATCCAGTTTCTCCAAAAAAAAAAAAAATAGAGATTTTTAGTGGTCGTCATCCATCCCTACCAAATTGGCATCGGTATCTGGTCCAGGATATTGCCTGTCTCCTTCCCGTTCTCTCTCTCTTCTTTTTTTTTATTTTTATTTTTTTATTTTAAACTATACAGAACGAGACTTGAGGAGATATGGTGTCTGATTGTATCAAAATAATAATTAATAATGAAAATGAAGGATTGGTCTTTCCATTGTCGGTGGGGTGAGTTTTACTGCATTTTAGTTGAAAAACATAAAGATGAAGAGGCCGAAAAGAAGAAAGGATAGGGAAGATGGGCATTGTAGTAATCATGTTTGTTTTATTTTTTATCAGATGTCTCCAAAGAGACGTAATCATACTTGTTTATATCCCGATTCTGCTGAATTAGTAAACAATTTTATGAAATCAGTACAATTTTTATTCTGATTCCAGAACATTTTAGTAAACAATTTTTATGAAAATATGATTTTGATTCTCCTTAATTCAACTCCTTTAATTTTAATTATGGCTAAATAACGGGTCATTAATCCCTAATAGGCAAAGAATCGAAATCTTTAACCTACAAGAAACCTTAGACTCAAAATACTAAAACACCCTTACAATATAAAATTACCTAAAATACTAATATATTCCAACATAATCCTCCTTAATAACGTGCAGATTTTTTGTGTTCATCTCAATACCTTGCAGTTTAATCTATTTGCATCATTCCATATAACTTAATACAAGTTGATGATTTTACAATATTATACCATTGCTGCATTTGTAAAACATTTAATAAAAAAAGTTCAAAGTATAGATACCAGGAGCGTTCCACTACCTTGCTTTTAGGCTCCAATTTATATCCAATTTAATTCATTTTCTCAGTCTAGTTTCCGAGCAAGGGAAGCCTGTACTTTTTTCAACAAAAGCAAATCAACTTTGCAAGAAAAAATTTCATGGGGAGGACCGGATTGTTTGATCTTGAAGGGCACTTCGCCTTCTATGGGGCATATCACAGCAACCCAGTTAACATTTTGATTCACACTTTCTTTGTGTGGCCATTATTCTTCACCGCTGCTGTTCTTTTCCACTTTACACCCTCTCTCTACAATTTCTCATCTGGGTTTAATAATCATGGTTTCACATTGAATTTAGGGTTTGTTTTAACTTTTATGTATGCTTTCTTTTATGTCAAATTGGACAAGAAAGCTGGGTCCTTGGCAGCTTTGCTATGTTTTCTCTGCTGGGTTGGAGCCAGTGTTCTTGCTAGTGGGCTAGGGTTTGTTAAGTCATGGAAGCTTGTTCTTGCTGCTCAGGTTTTCTGTTGGGGTGGACAGTTCATAGGCCACGGGATTTTTGAAAAAGAGGACCAGCTCTTGCAGACAACTTTGCTCAAGCACTTCTGATGGGGCCTTACTTCGTGTTGCTTGAGCTTCTTCAATCAGCCTTTGGGTATGAACCTTATCCAGGGTTTCATAAAAGTGTGAGAGCAAAGATTGAAGTTAATATCAAAGAGTGGAAGGTCAAGAACCAAAAGAAACTCTCCTGATCATTAGCTTAAATGCATGGGTTACGTTTAGTTAATTTCTTCTTAAGTTATGTTTTTGTCAACTCTACAGTTCCATCAATCACATTTACGAACTTATAATACAGGTACTGGCTTTATACAATAACCTTATTCTTTGAACCCTTCAGCTTTGTGACAACTAGCTCAAATGCAATTTGCATTTTTAATGGTCTTTCCAGGTGCTCGATTTCTTAGGATATTTACTTTCAAATGCAACTTGCAGCAAGAATCTTGTGTTATATTTTTATCGATTTGGGTATCTGCTTTGTTTTTTTTGGCAGGATCTGCTTGATACTTAATACATACAATGCTTTTTTTTTTTTACTAAAACTACATTAAGGGCTGAGGGGTTTGATTAAGCCTAGCAATAGTCTATAATAAATATTTGGTATCGAGCTCGCTTTTCATATGCTTCAAGTCTAAAATCTCTAATTTAGAAGTGGATATAAATACTTTAGAAAGCACTAAGTAGCCATTAAAATACAATATTAGAGATTAAATAATTGACAACAAAAAAAGAAATTTAAAAGAATTGCTATTCTCATCCATATATTTTTCTTTTGCTCACCTTTTAATGAACATATATAACAAGTTTACCTTTTGTGAAGTTGACCCTTGAGGACTTAAAGCAGAATTAATTTAGGTTAAGATCAATAGTATTTTTCGTTTTTTTTTTCCAAAAGATAAAATTTATTATAATTTAATTAAAATGTTTATATCCTCCACAAAAATATTAAATAAGAACTCAGGACCTATGCAATCCCAAACTATAAGTGCCATTTTTTTTTTTTGAAAGAATAAGATATAACTGCATGTGCCGCCTTATCACCTTTGGTGAGGTCCGTAGGCTATCTTAGTAGTTAGGAATACATCAAGAGTAAAAAGTTTTGATTTTAAGACTAATCCATGGGTTTTAGAGGAAGTACCCGCACCATACGGTTAGAGCCTTTAGATGTGACTATTTTTTGTTTTCTTTAAACAAGTTTTTGGAAACAATATTATTTGAATTTTTTATATTTTAACAAGCAAGTGAAATCAAGTATTCGTGATTTTGATGCATATTGGGTTTGTGCATATTTTCTTAGTGATTTTGATGCCACCAACCTTATCTCAATGTATCACTTTTGACATTTTATTCAGCTTCTTCTGGTAATTGTACTTAATTAATAAGATTTTAGATGTCTTTATTCTCGGTTCATTTAGTCAGTCAATGTGTTAATTTATTTCAATTAAGCTCATGAATCATTTTGTCATGATTTGAAGCGAGATTCCTGGTGGTTAGAGTTTTTAATGGAAAGAAGGGTAAAGATTGTTAGGCAATACAAGTTGTTGATATCGTGCACAGGAAACTCTGAAATTATCACAATTGGTACAGTTGCATCATGAATTTACTACAAAATCTAATCTGTATCTGACAGGAAAGGGTAAATAGGCCATTTCCGAAATGACATGAAATTAGTTAGATATGGTTTAAAAAGAGGGGATACTTATGGTCTCATAAACCTATTTCAGTTGGAGAATGTATTTTGGCAGGGACATTTGAGTTGATTATGTGAAGAAACCAATTGTCTTTATACGTATACAAAGTAAACTATGTGAAATGGGAGAACCCACCTCTTTCTCTCTCCTCTTCCTCACTCCTCTCTTAATTCTGATTTATTAGGGAGCCCGTGCTTTTCCTCAAACCGACGTTGTCTTACTTGATGAACGGCGGCACGATCGAAGTCCCTCACCCTCTGTTATCGTTGGACCATGAGGTGGCGGTGATCATCTCTCAGAAAGCTAGCGATGTTCCGCAATCCACCGCCATGGATTACGTTGCGGGTAAATTTGTAATTTTCGTTACTGTTATTTGTTAATTAATCACTTTTTATTTATTTTTTGAAGGTCAGTTAATTAATCAGTTAATAGTGTTGCTGTTAATGATTTAGTTTAATTAATCAGTTAGTAATGCTGCTGCTAATGATTTAGTTTTAATATAATGATGCTGTTAATGATTTGGTTTTAAGTTTAAATCTAATTAGCGAAAATCGGATGGTGTAAGGTTATGCACTTGCTTTGGATATGACTGCCAGAGAAATTCAAGCTTCTGCTTAGGTAATTATCGATAATCGGATTGTTTAATGCGATAAAAAACGGTAGCGAAATGTTCAATTTTATGGCAACAAGTTTCTAATTAGAATGCTAATGCTGCAGTTCATGATAATCATATGTTCTGATTTAAACAGTTACTGCAAATGTATTGTTGCTTTGTGATGAATGAGTTATCTTTTGCATTTAAGACTTTTTCGTTTCTCGATACTAAGTCTAAAATAGAGATTTCAGAGCAAAACATTGATCCAGTATAAGAGAGTTGTGATTTTGTAGTTTTTATATGTTTCCAGATAAAATCTGCTGAGATTAGAAAGAGAAAAAGGGCAAAGGAAAGCTATGGTGACTCTCGAAAGATGGTTCAAGTCCTTGTTGGAGGTACATTGGACTTATGTTTCTTATGTGTTTAGTACATTGTTAGGACTATAGATTTGGATTGAACTCAATGTTGTCGGTGGATATAAATATATGTGTGTGTGAATATATGTGTACATATAGATTTATACATTGTTAGGACTAATAATTTTTGTGCTGGCAGGATTTTTGATTGGGATTGGGGCTAATGACTAGGAATGTTGGATAGCATGTTAATTTATATGGGAGTAGGTTTTTTCTTCTCTGTGAATCAGGATTGACAATTTCATTTTGCACAGGCCATACCGATTAAAGATGCTATGGTGTTGTCAAAGATACACCAGACATATAAAGTTGAATATTTCAAGGTTGCCTGTTTTCTGTTTAACCTTTTTGTTTTTCCTACTTATTCAGTTTCATTTCTTACTTCTACTACTTTTAGGATGTTGTTTTGGCTAGACTTTTGGATAAGGCCACAGTCCTGCAAAGATATAATTTTCTCTTCTTTTACATAAGATATTAATTTTTTTAGTCATTCACCCCGCTTAAAAAGAAAAAAAAAAGCTGGCAGAGGGAAAACCCCGTTGACTTAATCAGAGCAACGGGGGGCTCTTACCCCGTTGGTCTCCCCTCTTTAACCCCTACCTCCATCTTTTTAAAAAGCAAAAGAACGGAGAATTAGATGGAGATCTCAACCATAGAATACAAGCTGGATGGATGAAGTGGAAGAGTGCATCCGGCGTGTTGTGTGACCGCCGTATGCCACTGAAGCTCAAGGGAAAATTTTATAGGATGACAATAAGGCCGGCGATGCTGTATGGCACAGAATGTTGGGCGGTGAAGCATCAACACGTACACAAAATGAGTGTAGCGGAGATGAGGATGCTTCGTTGGATGTGTGGGCACACGAGAAAGGATAAGATTAGGAATAAGGATATCCGGGGTAAAGTAGGAGTAGCCGAAATTGAAGGAAAGATGAGAGAAAATCGGTTACGGTGGTTTGGACATGTGCAAAGAAGGCCTACTGACGCTCCGATTAGAAGATGCGACTATGGGACAGAGGTTCAGGGCCGAAGGGGTAGAGGAAGACCTAGGAAAACTTTGGAAGAGACTCTAAGAAAAGACTTAGAGTACTTGGATCTAACGAAGGACATGACACAGGATCGAGCACAATGGCGTTCTAAGATTCATATAGCCGATCCCACTCAGTGACTTGGATTTTCCAAGTCTCCAACCGAGAAGTTTTCCTCACTCGGGAAATTAAGGGAACACTACCCCAACCTACATGCTCCACTCAGAAAGCTTCAACATACAAGCTTCAACAAAAGAAAATTCAAAGAACTTAGCGAAGAAGGCTTTGGTGTATTTAACACAATACGTTGAAATGAAGGAAAGCTTATTTATTGATATCCCCGATAAGCTACAAATATGTACATATACATGAGTCAAAATAAACACACAAGAGGGAGCCTTCACAAAGGTTGCTTAGGAGAAGTCTCAGCAGTCGGTAGAGCCCCAGAAAGAGAAGGCACCGGAGGGGGATCATTTGGAGCCTCAGTACTGGACAGAACCCTAGAAGGAGGAGGCATCAGAGGTTGATCATTTGGAGCTTCATTACGCGGTACAGCCCCAGAAGACGAAGGCAATAAATGCCTTTGGAACAAACCCACAAATCTCTGATGATCAAGTAAAACCTGACCATCAGTTTCCTTCATCTGGTCAAGCTTCCTCTTCATGTTTGTAGCATAGTCATGTGCGAGCCGGTGCAACTGTTTATTCTCATGCTTGAGCCCTCTAATCTCCTGTTTGAGACTCATCACTTCAGCCGCCAATGATTCAACTTGGCGGGTTCGAGCAAATAGGCGTTGGGCCATATTAGACACAGAACCTGCACACTGAACACTGAGAGCCAGCGAATCCTTAACAGCTAACTCATCAGACCGTTTGGAAAGTAGTCTGTTATCTTTGGGAGTGAGAAGGTTCCTGGCCACCACCGCAGCGGTCATATCATTCTTCATCACGGAATCCCCAACGGTAAGAGGACCAGTAGGGGAGACGAAGGATGGGCGCCATATGTTGTCTGGAGAAGGCGGGGCTGCCTCTTCAACAAGGTTCAAGTCAAAACGACGGTCGGAGGGGCCAGACATTTTCAAAGGTGTTGAAGAGAGAAGAGGTCGGACAAATCAAGATCTTAGAAGTGCAAGAATGAAGCTTCTACTGGTGGAGATTCAAGTGTGCTTTGGAACTTAATGCCAGCCCCTATAAAATCTGCACTCGACGGAGCTTCAGAAATCGAAGAGGCGCCTGCTCAGAAATCGAAGAGGCGTTTGCTTTCTCAAAAGCTGGGCTGCTTAGAGATCACGAGGGTTGATCTCAGAAATCGAAGAGGCGTTTGCTTTCTCAAAAGTTGGGCTGCTCAAAGACCACGAAGGCCGATCTCAGAAATCGAAGAGGCGCTCGCTTTCTCAAAAGCTGGGCTCCCCAGAGACCACGAGGGCCGATCTCAGAAATCGAAGAGGCACCTACTTTTCCAGCCTTGTCAGCACCTGTCACACGCACACTTAGCTTTGCGGAAATTATGGGCATTCTGTCGAAAGACTTCTGGTGAAGTAGAAAACATATGAATCTTACTGTTCAATCACCCACTTCCCACACGCAACAATAGCTCATGGGTACCACAGATAACTTTGCCAAAGTTCTCTGCCAAAGTTGAGCACGTGAAGCTTGCAGCTCCCACTACATCGCTCTGACCAAGAAGGGTAAAAGAATAGCAAAGAAACAGCACTAACAAAGTTTAGACCCATAAATTTTGAAGGTCTAGCTACCATATTATTACCCACAAGGGTAAAGGAACAGTACCACTGCTGGATAATTGGAAAGTCCCTGTGTGTCAACCTCTGTGCTTCGTGGCAAGGTAGACTAGCAAACATGCCCAAACATGCCCAACCTTTACTCACATTCGAGAAAACACTCCCAATAAGATTGCTTGCTCCAAAATCGAAGAGGCACCGTCCTCTGAATCTCGAGAGCCAGACTCCCAACATGACTACTTTCTCAAAAAATCGAAGAGAGGGTAAAGGAACAGTACCATTGCTGGATAATTGGAAAGTCCCTGTGTGTCAACCTCTGTGCTTCGTGGCAAGGTAGACTAGCAAACATGCCCAACCTTTACTCACATTTCGAGAAAACACTCCCAACAAGATTGCTTGCTCCAAAATCGAAGAGGCACCGACCTCCGAATCTCGAGAGCCAGACTCCCAACATGATTACTTTCTCAAAAATCGAAGAGACACCGCTCCCCGAATCTCGAGAGCCAGACCCCCAGCATGATTGCTTTCTCAAAAATCGATGAGGCATCGTTCTCCGAATCAATCGAAGAGGCGCTCGCTTTCTCAAAAGCTGGGCTGCTCAGAGACCACGAGGGCCGATCTCAGAAATCGAAGAGGCACCTACTTTTCTAGCCTTGTCAGCACCTGTCACACGCACACTCAGCTTTGCAGAAATTATGGGCATTCTGTCGAAGACTTCTGGTGAAGTAGAAAGCACATGAATCTTACTGTTCAATCACCCACTTCCCACACGCAACAATAGCTCATGGGTACCACAGATAACTTTGCCAAAGTTCTCTGCCAAAGTTGAGCACGTGAAGCTTGCAGCTCCCACTACATCGCTCTGACCAAGAAAGGTAAAAGAATAGCAAAGAAACAGCACTAACAAAGTTTAGACACATAAATTTTGAAGGTCTAGCTACCATATTATTACCCACAAGGGTAAAGGAACAGTACCACTGCTGGATAATTGGAAAGTCCCTGTGTGTCAACCTCTGTGCTTCGTGGCAAGGTAGACTAGCAAACATGCCCAACCTTTACTCACATTCGAGAAAACACTCCCAACAAGATTGCTTGCTCCAAAATCGAAGAGGCACCGTCCTCCGAATCTCGAGAGCCAGACTCCCAACATGACTACTTTCTCAAAATCGAAGAGAGGGTAAAGGAACAGTACCATTGCTGGATAATTGGAAAGTCCCTGTGTGTCAACCTTTGTGCTTCGTGGCAAGGTAGACTAGCAAACATGCCCAACCTTTACTCACATTCGAGACAACACTCCCAACAAGATTGCTTGCTCCAAAATCGAAGAGGCACCGCCCTCCGAATCTCGAGAGCCAGACTCCCAACATGATTACTTTCTCAAAAATCGAAGAGACACTGCTCTCCGAATCTCGAGAGCCAGACCCCCAGCATGATTGCTTTCTCAAAAATCGAAGAGGCATCGTTCTCCGAATCTCGAGAGCCAGATACCACAGACCACTTTTTCAAAGTGCTCTGACAGAGTTAAAACATGTGAAACTGGCAGCTCCCACTACCGTGCTATGACCAAGCAGGGTAAAGGAATAGCATTACTACTTGTTGTTAGGGAGACTCCTATATATGTCGACCTCCATCCCCAACGGACAGGCAGACCTGCAAAAATGCTCAACCCTTCATCATATCTGAGAGGGCACTCCCAACGAAGCCTTTCGAAATATTCAGCTTTCTTTCCCCCCGATAATACCTCTGCAAACAAGCTATACTAGAGCAAGAATATCTCATATCATCAGGGTTAAAAGCAAGAGTATCCCATATCATGCTTTTTCCCTGTCTTTTCCTTTGGCCTTGTTTTTACCTGCAAGACAAGGAGAAAGAGAGCAATCAGTCAGCACTTGGAATCAAGCTTCCAGCCAGGAACTGACTGCCTGGAACCCCTTACCTGATTACTTACCTGGCATTGCTCTCGAGTACTCATCTTCAACATCTTATGTTTCCAGGGAAGATTCCGCATCTGCTTGAGGAACAGATAGGGCAAGTGCGAAGGATACAAGGAAGCATGTGGAGACAAGCGTAACAGCACACGTGCCGATACATCCATTACTCTGTCAAAAGCAAAAGTATCCCATATCAGCAGGGTGGAACGTACTCTAGATTTGATGGACTTGTTTTGACCCTCAAATTCTTCAGTCGGCCTTATACTCTGGAGGAAACCAGAAAACCCTCCAGCTCAGTTCAAGAATAAGCCTGTGGAAAGTTACTTCTTCAAAAGCAAAAGTATCTCATATCATCTCTTCTCATTTTTCTTCTCTTTATCCTTCATGCTGCTGCAAGATGGGGAGAAGGTGAACAATCAGTCGGAGCTCTGATTGCTTACCTTGTCTGTCACCTCTTTCAGCAGACCCCCTAGCTCGGCGACTTGGGGGACTCCTACTACATGGTTTGTATCGCGCTTGACCAAGCCTGAAACTACAAGTAAGCTTCAAGTGAAATTGATACATTACCTTGTGCATCTCCACCAGTTAAAGATACCACCCCTGGATGGAGGAAGAGTACTTCCAGAGAAGATGCCACATCTACCTATGAGACAGATAAGGCAAGTCAAGACGACACCACACTCCGATACTTAGAAGTTTCGTGATTACGAGATCATTCTCCCACAATATTTCCTAATGTCATTTGTACTAAATCATTCACTTGTACTCACTAAAGGAGAGCTTGAACCTATGTACTTGTGTAAACCCTTCACAATTAATGAGAACTCTTCTATTCCGTGGACGTAGCCAATCTGGGTGAACCACGTACATCTTGTGTTTGCTTTCCTATCTCTATCCATTTATATACTTATCCACACTAATGACCGGAGCAATCTAGCGAAGATCACAAAAAGCGACCGTTTTCGCTACCTAGGATCTATCTTGCAAGAGAACGGAGAATTAGATGGAGATCTCAACCATAGAATACGAGCTGGATGGATGAAGTGTAAAAGTGCATCCGGCGTGTTGTGTGACCGTCGTAGGCCACTGAAGCTCAAGGGAAAATTTTATAGGACGGCAATAAGGCCAGCGATGTTGTATGGCACAGAATGTTGGGCGGTGAAGCATCAACACGTACACAAAATGGGTGTAGCGGAGATGAGGATGCTTCGTGGGATGTGTGGGCACACGAGAAAGGATAAGATTGGGAATGAGGATATCCGAGGTAAAGTAGGAGTAGCCGAAATTGTAGGAAAGATGAGAGAAAATCGGCTCCGGTGATTTGGACATGTGCAAAGAAGGCCTACTGACGCTCCGGTTCGAAGATGTGACTACGGGACAGAGGTTCAGGGCCGAAGGGGTAGAGGAAGACCTAGGAAAACTTTGGAAGAGACTCTAAGAAAAGACTTAGAGTACTTGGATCTAACGGAGGACATGACACAAAACCGAGCGCAATGGCGTTCTAGGATTCATATAGCCGACCCCACTTAGTGGGAAAAGGCTTTGTTGTTGTTGTTGTTGTTGTTGTATTCATCGTTTTGAAGAATGCATTTGGTCTACTTGAGCATAATATTCTGATCTCAAACCACTTTCACAAAGCCGATTTGTTATCTACACGTGTGCTATTTTCATTTCAAATTGTGACTGCTATTTTGCTCTTCCCGTTCTCATATTCTTGACAAGTGACCTCTGAAATTTATTGCCTGTAGCTTTTCAAAGCGCTGCAGGTATAAATTCACCTCACACTTCCTTGGCAGGGGAGAATCAGACCATTGAGTGGGCTATACGACTAACAGTTGCTCTGAACATTGCCAAAGCATTAGATCACTGCAGCAGCGAAGGCCGCCCATTGTACCATGACTTAAATGCATATATGGTTCTCTTTGATGAGGTGTTGTCTCAAATTTCCTTTCCCAAACGACAATTAATCAAGTAGAGGACCAATTAAGTCTTTGAGAAACAAATTTCTTTGTCTACATTGCTGAATATTTGCAGCTTGCAAATTTCATTGGTTATGATATTTGATTGAGTTAAACTTGGATTTCTGGATTTTGACCTTTTCATTTGTTTCTCTGTTGCAGAGTTGGCTTCATTTCAGTCCAGTCTCTAAATAGGTCCAATAACTCACTAAATAGGTAAGTCGAGAAGAATTCAGCGTTGCAACTCCTTTTTTGGTATGCTGTTTAAATCTGTCTGTCATTTTATTCATTCGTCATGTTTAACTTTGTTCTGTAGGCTTCCTATGGCTAACTTAAGCATTTTAGTTATTCATTTTTTTAAAGATGTTAGCTATTTTGGAACAGTTTGAAAGTTAATGCATGACTCGAGGATGACTTTTAGCTTATCCCACTTATCTTTTAAGCTCTCGCTTCATTCATGTGCTGAGTCATGGTTTAACTGTCTAAATTCAAGAACTAAAAATGGCCAGCAGGCTATAAAGCGATTAGATTTTGAGATGCATATTTTGGTTTCTCATTATTTCTTTGTTTTGTAATTTTCATTTATTAATGTTCTTTTGGCAGCTTATTTGATTGTATTTGTCTAACACATTGGTTACTTGACATTTTGAGGTATATAATTTGCTTTACCTTGTTTCAGTTTCTTCAGTTAGATAAAGAGTGGATATGTGTTTGCTTTATGCGAAGTATCTTTTGTATGTACATATTAAATCTTATGTCGAGATTGAAGGCTTTTTTATCAACAGTTGCATGGCTGGCTTTTTTTTATTAACAATTTATCCATGAATGTGAACTATAAGGTTTCTATCAATTAGAATTGGCTATTTCTTTTATTAAGAATTTGTTTTTACACACCATATTGACTCTTCTTCATATAAGTATATAGCATGAGTATGTAGAATGTCATGTCTGCGTGTCATATGATTTTGCATGAGAATTATAGAGTGACAGCATGTTGCAATGGTTTATTGTGTGTAAAACATAGTCCACTTGGTGAATGGTTTCCCATTCTTTTAAGCTTCAGTGTTTGAGTTGCGTTAGATTGTTGAGGAATTCATCAAAAAGGCTTCCAGATATAGCCGCATTCTTACTTCCAAGGGTCATGCATATTTCTCCATTTTTTCATCGATTACTTTTCTTTAGATACATTTTCTTTTCTCTTTTAAATTATTGTATTCAAGGTTGACTTTGTTATATAAACTCTGAAATTCGAAACTCGAACACAAGTTTCTAAAATATAATGTTCTTTGGAACTTTCCATATTTCTGAGTATGCACTGCATTGATTATGGTTTTTTAAATTCCCACGATGTTTGCATGTCCGCAATCATGTGAATTAAGGCTAAAACAGATACAAGTATGATGAGAGCAATTCAACGATTTAAATTAGTTTTCTAATCACATTAGTTACTTTGTCTAAAGAAAAGAAAAAAGAGCATCTCCTTCATCAATCATTCTTGAGATGCATCTTAGTGTACATACGGTTCTCAGTTTTCTGTCTCCCTTTATTCTTTTAATTTTTGTGTGTGTACACGTCTATCTATGCATATACACAGATCTCGGATAAAGCAAAGTTCTAGATGTTTTTTTAATTCTAACAAACTGATTAGACGAATAAGCGTTCAACTTGGCTAAGTCTATTGATATTATCGTATTAGTGGGAATGATATGGTTGGAAATATTGTGTATATTTTTATGCATGGGCTTGATAAAATCCTGCACTTTTTGCTGCGATCAATTTTTAGTTTTTTGGTTTGGTGAATTCTTGCGTTGTTTTCCAATGAAGAGGATTCGAGCATTAATATTGTCGGTAATGGTGAGACTACTGGTTTTCCAGCCACCCCACATAATGAGCAGCTGAGTTATGCATCTCCAAGCAAGAAAAGGCTGGATGCTATTAGTGATTCTGCCAAAGAATCAAAACAATGTGGTAGGTATTTACATTTCCATGTATAGGATTTTGTGGATTTTATGAGATATATTGTTTGTTCTTCTCTCAGCTTTGAGTTTTAGATGTGTTTAGCTCCTTTTCGAAGGACAAACAGATTTTGTGCTAATTTTTTTTTTTTTTGGTCAATAGATTTTGTGCTAATTTAATGACGTATAGCTTATCTTTTTTTCCTTCAAAATTCATGTGCAAAATTTTGTTGATTCAACATTCAATGCCCTTCCTTCGAATCAAGTTAAAGGTCGGATCACTAAATCATACTATTTTCATCGCCTCTTCATCCCCTTGCTGAACAGAATGGAGTGTATTGTCTTCATTTGCATTCTTGCATTTGAACTTGCAATTCAGTTTATGCTAAATTAATGATATTTATTTTTTGTTGTCTTCGACTCTGCTGAGTTACACCTTATTGTCTATTTTTAGATTTCATTTAGACTCATAAACTGAGGCATTATGTATGGCATTATGTATGCCCAAGAACGAATCGAGGAGTTCAAGCAGCAATGTCGGTGGCCGCTTTTGTAAATAGAGTGAAATATACGAATGATCAATTAGCTATCATAAAATAACGTGGTCTATGTATCTATAACACCTTCAAGGGTTTTCTGATTTTTTTTTTGTCGCAAGGTTTTTCTATATTTCATAAAATTTTATTTAAAATTTTGAATTTAATATATTAACAATTCTGTATTAATAAAATTAAATACGTATTTATTTTTCACTAGCCTTTGATTACATGTATATGTTTGTGGTTCCTGATTTTTGAATTTCTACGGGTTTTGGCAAATTTGTCCGATCTATTAGTCAAGTGTGAAACTGTTTGCAAATTTGTCCATTTGAATTTCTAATGAATTAATCTGATTGCAAGTGTCTTCCCTTCCAGAGAAGACTTTGCCCTTCCAGAGGAGGAGGACACGGTCATATCTTATAGTTTATGGCAACTGGAATTATTTATTCGTTTTCCTGGGAAATTGATGGTGTACTGGTGTGGTGGTCCTTTCTGTTGACTTATATTAGGATTCCTATAATTGTGGGATTCCTACTGTAATTGGTTTCCTAGTTTAGGATGTAATTATTCTTCCCTTATTCTTTCCCATATCTGTATAGGGTTGTATATATACCTTGTTTTGATATGAAATAAAATATCATTGAAAAGCATTCTTTCTTCTTGGCACCAGAGTCGGGTTAGAAAAAAAAAAACTGAACCCTAATTTTTTCCTGCCGTGTACCTGATCCATTGTAGCGAGCAACCTTAGGGTTGTTGCTGCCCGTTCCCTGACTGATTGCAGCGAGCACCAGAGAAGGTGTTGCTGCTCTGACCGATTGCAGCGAGCACCAGATAGGGTGTTGCTGCCCTGTTGATTTGTCCAACGTGTTCTAGGTCCCATCACCGCTGCTGTTTTTTTTTTCCTCTGCCTAGTTTGTGTCAGTCAACACCGAAGCAACAGAGAGATGGCTGAAGAAAAGGGGGCTGGTTCACAGATTGTTTCAGCGGCTGCTCCAATTATGGTGCAGTCAGAGAATTCAAGCTTTAATATTGGTATGGTTTTGGATGAAAAGAACTATGATTTATGGGCTCCTCTCATTCAAATTCATATTGCTGGAAGGAAGAAGATGGGATATCTTCGTGGGTCTATCAAGGCACCTAGCGAAGATGATCCTAAATATGATGATTGGTTTTCTGAAGATCAAAAAATTAAGAGTTGCTTTTGTCTTCCATGAAGCCCGAGATTATGAAACGGTACATTCGGTTGTCTACATCGAAGGAGATTTGGGACTCCTTGAAGGCTGCCTACTTTGATGAGAATGACGAGGCTAGAATTTATTCGTTGAATCAGAAGGCATCCCGTCTGCGTCAGAATGGCCGACCCTTAGCTACCTATTTTTGGGGAGCTCACTGAGATCTTCCAAGAATTGGATCACTTTAATAAAGTATCCATGGGGAGTGTGAGAATGACATCAAAGTGTTTCAGAAATCCACTGAGAGACAACGGGTCTATGTGTTTCTTGGTGGTCTTGATGATGGGTTTGATCAGGTGCGTGGAGAAGTGCTGCGGAAGGATCCCCCACTTGGCCTGCAGGCTTCTTATGCCTATGTTCGTCGAGAAGCCGATCGAAAGGAAGCAATGAAGACAGAGGTTGACAAGGGGGAGTCTGCTGCCATGGCAGCAAGGGCCCGTGGATCATCTAGTGGGTCGAATCGAGAAGGGGTACAAAACCGGCCTGGATCAACTCGGCCAAACCAGACAAGCCGGGATCGTCCACAAGGTAAGTGCCCACACTGTGGTCTGACGGGACACTCCAAGAGTCGTTGTTTTGAGCTGATTGGATATCCCGAGAATTGGGATAAGACCCGTGATCCTCGGTGCAACAAATCTCGAGCCTCCATTGTCGAAACCAAGAATGATTCGGATCAGATAGCGGACAAGGCATCTGCCATGATAGCTGCGGCAGGAAGTGATGGTAAGGCACTCAGTACTTCTACTTCTGTTATGAATAATACATGGATAATTGATTCCGGAGCTACTGAACATATGACTTGTGATTCTAGACAGGTTCCATCACTAAAAAACATCCACACAAACCGAGGTCAATGTTGCTAATGGTAATGCCGTCCCTGTTATTGGGGAAGGCGTTGTTTCCCTTTCTGATACCATGAAACTTGACACTGTTCTTGTGGTTCCCTCTCTAAATTATAATTTTGTTGTCCGTTGCTCAAAAATAACCCTTGCCTTACATTGTTTGGTTTTTTTTTGGCCATATTTTTGTGTTTTTTAAGGACATCCGGACGCGGAAGACGATTGGTTATGGTATTAGAAGAGGGAAACTTTATTACTTGGAGTTGACCACCAGTAGTTCTAGCTTGCTGACTCAAGCTCTTTCCGTTGATGATTCTCAAGGGGTTACTAATAAAGTGTCAGACATCTGGATGTGGCACCGGCGACTTGGGCATGCTTCCTTTGGTTATCTGCATAAGTTATTTCCTAGTTTGTTTGTCAAGACTGATGTTTCTCAGTTTAAGTGTGATGTTTGTGAAATGGCTAAGAGCCATCGAACCTCTTTTCCTCCCAGTTTAAATAAAAGTACTGTTCCTTTTATGATTGTGCATTCTGATGTATGGGGACCGTCAAAAGTAGCCACTCTTGGTGGTGCTCATTGGTTTGTTACTTTTATTGATGATTGTACCCGCATGACTTGGGTTATTTTGTTAAAGTCAAAGAGTGAAGTTAGTTCGGCCTTCCAACGGTTTCATAAAATGATTGTTGTACAATACAACAGGAATATCCAGGTTCTTCGCAGTGACAATGGGGGAGAATATATTAATATGGAACTTCGTTCATTCTTAGAGTTGCACGGTATTGTTCATCAGACCACGTGTCCGTATACTCCTCAACAGAATGGGGTTGCAGAAAGGAAAAATCGACACTTGTTAGAAATGGTTCGTGCTTCCCTACTTGCGGCACATTTGCCGCTCCATTATTGGGGAGAGGCACTTACGTCTGCAACCTATCTTATTAATCGCCTTCCATCTCGGACTCTCGACTTCCATACACCATTTCAGGCTCTCACATCTCAGACTAGCAGCCCCCCGACTCCCAATCTTCCCCCACGGGTCATCGGATGTGTTGCGTTTGTTCACCTCCATCCACCTCAACGGAAGACTAAACTTGAACCTAGAGCTCTTCGTTGTGTTTTTTTGGGGTATGCTACTACCCAGAAAGGGTATCGTTGTTATCATCCTTCGAGTAAAAACATGTTTATTACTCAGGATGTGAGTTTTCACGAGAATGAAATGTTCTTTGGTTCCTCCCCGTCCTCACTTCAGGGGGAGTACTGCAATGATGAAGTTCTGACTCGCGATGATAGGGACGTGTTGAGCTTGGAGTACACGGCTTCTGGGGAAGGGCAGCAGCCCACGACACCTGAGGAAGGGCAGCAGCCCGTGTTTTCTGGGTTTAGTCCTACCGAGCAGCCTACTGAGGAGCAGCCAACACGTCAGGAAGAGGAGCAGCCCACGGGTCTCACGGGTATTGAGTTGGAAGATGAGATGCAGCCGTCCAATTGCAGTGAAACAGAGCAGCAATTACAGCATGTGTCACGAGATACTACTTCTCATAACCAATCGTCTTCTACACCGGATGCACCTTCACTTCGTCGCCTTCCAGAGCGTATTAATAGAGGTATTCCCAAACCCACTTATGAGGCAGATCCTGAGTGTAAACACAAGTATTCCATGAGTGAGCCAAACTCTGATTCCAGAGTGAGATACCCATTAAACCATTATGTGTCTACCTGTCACCTGTCAGAATCAAATAAGTCATTTGTGTATCAATTATCTACTGTATCTATTCCTAACAGTGTGCAAGAGGCTTTAGCAGATTCCCGCTGGAAAGATGCAATGAACGAAGAATTGAGATCGTTGAAGAAGAATGCTACCTGGGACATAATAGACTTGCCAGCCGGAAAGAAAACAGTGGGATGCAAATGGGTTTATACAGTAAAATATAAAGCCGACGGAACGGTAGATCGCTTTAAAGCAAGATTGGTGGCAAAGGGGTATACACAGAAATATGGCATTGATTACACTGATACATTCGCACCAGTGGCAAAGATCAATACAGTTCGTGTTCTACTGTCCTTAGCAGCAAATCTGGATTGGCCTTTGCAACAGTTCGACGTAAAAAATGCTTTCCTCCATGGAGATCTGACTGAGGAGATTTACATGGATCTTCCACCAGGGTGCAGTGATTCGGACAGACGGAAACAAAAGGTATGTAGGCTCAAGAAATCACTGTATGGATTAAAGCAGTCTCCTCGAGCCTGGTTTGGTAGATTTACCAAGTCCATGAGGGCATTTGGGTATATACAGAGTAATTGGGATCACACGTTGTTTCTGAAACACCAGAACGGAAAGGTTACGGCTCTAATCGTGTATGTGGATGATATGGTGGTTACTGGTGATGATCCTGTTGAGCAAGCAGCCTTGAAAAGTTATTTGTCCACAGAGTTTGAAAATGAAAGATCTTGGTCCTTTGAAATATTTTCTTGGGATTGAAGTATCAAGATGCAAGTCCGGGATATTTCTATCACAAAGGAAGTATGTTCTTGACCTGTTGGAAGAAACCGGTATGACAGCATGTAAGCCGGTGTCTACTCCTTTGGCCGAAGGAATGAAGTTGGGTATAGATCAGAACCAAGTACCGGTTGATAAAGGGAGGTATCAAAGGTTAATAGGAAGATTAATGTACTTGGCTCACACTAGGCCTGATCTTGCTCATGCCTTAAGTGTGATTAGTCAATATATGCACAATCCAGGAGAACAACATATGAGTGCAGTTATGAGAATATTGAGTTACTTAAAGGGAAGCCCTGGTAAAGGAATTTTATTTCGGAAAAATGAGCATTTCAGAATTGAGTGCTATACGGATGCTGATTGGGCAGGATCGACGGATGATAGACGCTCGACATCTGGGTATTTCACCTTTGTTGGGGGAAATCTAGTAACATGGAGAAGCAAGAAGCAGAATGTCGTATCAAGGTCAAGCGCAGAAGCCGAATTTAGAGGCATGGCACTCGGTATTTGTGAACTCTTGTGGCTTAAGTTTCTGTTGCAAGATGTGGGGGTTAAACAAGATCTACCTATGATGTTATTCTGTGACAATAAAGCGGCACGGGATATTGCTCATAATCCTGTGCAACATGATCGGACCAAGCATGTAGAGGTTGATCGGTTCTTTATTAAAGAGAAGCTAGATAGTAAAGTAATTGAGGTTCCTCCCATAGGAACGGACGACCAAGTAGCAGATATTCTCACGAAGGCGGTTTCTAGTAACAAGTTCTCCAGATTTCTAGACAAGTTGGGCATGTGCAACATCTATGCACCAACTTGAGGGGGAGTGTTGACTTATATTAGGATTCCTATAATTGTGGGATTTCTACTGTAATTGGTTTCCTAGTTTAGGATGTAATTATTCTTCCCTTATTCTTTCCCATATCTGTATAGGGTTGTATATATACCTTGTTTTGATATGAAATAAAATATCATTGAAAAGCATTCTTTCTTCTCTTTCTTGGGAGTTGCTCTGCAAATTAATCAATTCAACTTGCACAAAGTATTCTTTTGTGTGGTGGCATGAATTCGAGATAAACCAAGGCAACTATCATATAGAAAATTAGTGATTCTAGTAACAGCAATGGCAGAAAATAAAATATACGGTTGTCAAGAAATTGTAGCTACGAGGAAATACCAGACCTTAGACTTTTCTTTTTAATTATACAGCTTCTCAGCTTCTCAGCTTCTATAAGTAGGTGCTCACCACCATGCACTCTCATTATCCTCAAGAAAAATAGCTATTTCAGACCCATTCATTGTTCAATCCCTTCGTCAACCTCTCATTGCAATTAGCTGAGTCTTTTTCTAGCCAGCTCGTTCAATACTTGCACCAACTGAGTTACCGAGAAGCAACTTTCTTTCTTCTTTCTTTTTGTGATCGGACAGAAGCAATTTTCTGCAACTTGGAAAGCTGCCCTTTCTTTTACAAATGGCTGAAATTGCCGTACCAGTAGCGTTGTTTCTGGCGGACAAAGTGATAATGTTCCTCGACAAAAAATTCGGCCGATCGAGCATTAATAATAATAATCCCTGTGATGATGTTGGAAGAGCCAGAAGCTGTTTAGAGAGGATGCGCGCATATCTTAGTGACCACTCATCAGCAGAACTGTCTGCTTACGATGGAGGGTCTCAACAGTTTCAAGCTCGTGTAAAAGAGATCCGAAATATAGCTTATGAAATTGAAGACGTTCTTGACGAATTTCTGCTTCATGTCCCTCATCAATTCCACAACGACGTCTCTCAGAAGCTACACGATGCTGTGAAATTTTTCACGGTACAGAAAGCAAGCCGTGAGTTCTCGGACAGAATTCAAAATATTGACAAGAAGCTAAATTTTGTTTTCACTCTTGATAAAATTCCACAATTTCCGGGACGAGATCAAGAAAGTCGCCCAAGTTCCAGCACCACAAGACATGGAGATAGCACGGTGACTCATCATAACCAATTCCTTGAAGAAGAAGAAATGGTAGGGTTTGAGAAGCCTAAAGAAAAACTCATCAGTCAGTTGATGAAAGGAGATCCAAGGTTTCCGAATATCTCGCTTGTAGGTCCTGGTGGCTCAGGCAAAACCACTCTTTTGAAGAATGTCTTCAAGAGCAAAAAGGTCCAACGGTTTTTTGAATGCCATGCTTGGATTGATGTGCCGCGTGACTTGTGTGCCCGTAAACTTGATGAGCTCTTGCTCAACATGTTAAGCAAATTTGATCCAAAAGGCAGAAGGAAGGAATCAGTTAATCATGAAGATTTGGTAAGAGCTTTGAAGGGCAAGAAGTTTGTGGTCGTGTTAGATAATGTTTGGAGCAAACAAGATTTGGAACGCATTGTAAATGTTTTACCAAATGATTTACCTGGGACTGGGAGTAAAATAGTCATAACTACTCGTTACTCTGAAGTAGCGTCTTCTCATGCAAACTCTTCGTACATCCACAATATGAGCAAAGTGTTGTCATGGGAACAAGCTTGGAATCTATTCTGCCGAAAGGCTTTTCACAAGAGCGAAGGAAAGTGTCCAACCCAGATTTTGGACTGCGCAGAGAAAATCGTCAAGAAGTGTGAAGGCTTGCCCCTTGCAATTTCTGCTGTTGGTACTTTGCTAGCAACGAAGCGACCAACTCCACTTGATTGGAAGAAGTTACATGAGAGCCTTGGATCAAATGTTCCCATTATTACCCAAATATTGGAGCCAAGTTACAAGGACCTTCCAAGCCATCTTAAGACTTGTTTCTTGTACTTTGGCATGTTTCCTGAAGACTACTCCATTAGCCGTGAAAGGCTAATTCGCTTGTGGGTAGCTGAAGGATTTGTGATGCAGAGCAGATCAAGAAAACTAATGGAGGAGGTTGCAGGAGGCTATCTGAATGATCTCATTGGAAGAAATTTAGTTCATGTGAGTTCAAGGGAAGTCGATGGAAGAGTCAGAAGCTGCCGTGTACTGAACCTCGTTCGCGAGTTCATCATTGAAAAAGCGGAGAATTTCATCACTGTCTCGTTGGCAGCAAACTGCAGAGGTACTGCTCCAGGTGAGAAAATTCGACACCTTTCTGTTCATGATGTTCGTAAGGGCAACAATTTTTCAAGTGGTACAGATTTGAGTTGTACTCGTACCATGCTATTAAGTGGGCAGGGAAGTTATGATTCCGAGCTTGAAAGACTACTTAAAACCTTTAAATTTTTAAAGGTTTTAGATTTGCAAGGGATAAATTTGGACAACTTTCCCGATTCTGTTTTTGGTCTCACCCTCTTGAGGTACATAAGTCTAAGGCACACCGATATTAAAGAAGTGCCAAAGTCCATAAAGAAGCTTGGATTCTTGGAAACCTCAGACCTTAAGCACACAAAAGTGACCAATTTACCAAAACAGATTTATAAGCTCCGCAATTTGCACCACCTTTTAGTCTATCGCTATGATGTCACGAATTATGTGACATTTGAAGCTGCAAGAAGCGTAGAGCTCTCTGCAGGCAACATTTCATCTTTATCCTCCATACAAAAGTTGTCACTAATTAGTGTAAAAAATAACAGAAAAATCATAACAGCCTTACGAGAGTTGAAAGGTCTTAGGAAACTGGGGTTGACCGATCTTCAAAAAGAAGATGGAAGGAAGTTGTGTTGTTCTCTTCATGAAATGGAGCAGCTCTCGACATTGGATGTACGATCAACGAGCGAGGAGGACTTTCTGGATTTGGATCATGGTGAATTTCGTCCTGACTTTCTGCAACGCCTATATTTGAAAGGGCGCCTAGAAAGGCTGCCAATGTGGATTTCCAAACTTCACAGCGTAGTAAAGATTGGTTTAAAGTGGTCAAAACTTCAGGCTAATGAAAACCCACTTGAGGCCCTTCAAGCTTTGCCTGAGCTGATGGAGCTCGATTTGGTTCAGTATCACACCGGTGCAGAGTTGAAATTCAAAGCTGAAACGTTCAACAAGCTAAAGATATTACATATTGAACAGTTTGATCAGCTAAATAAGATGGTAGTCGAGAACGGGGCAATGCCTAAGCTGTAAGCTTTGTTAGAGCTGCTCACTTGTTTGACACGTGCTTAAGGGTTTGAGATCATAAGAGATTAGGATTGACTATACTTGTAAGCTATCAAGGAATGTATGTGGACTGATATATAGCTAAAGTAATTCTGATATGAGTAGATATATCTATACTGATATGAATAGTATGGTTTTGTGGTGATAAGGGTTATCGGTTTGATAGTTTGATAAGGATTACATGATGGGAAGTATCCTTATCAAACACCACCATTTAGGATATATAATAGGGGTCCCCTGCTCTCACACGGATTACGCACAAAAAGATATCAAGCCCCATTGATTGTAGCAGTGCATTCGGTCTGTGTTGAGAGTAGAAGAATCCTTAGTTCATTGCAGCAATGGCGTCAAAGGTTAGTGGTTAATTATTTGGTATTGTGATTTACTTATTCCGCATTTATTAATCTTACATTTGGTATCAGAGCTTTCACATACCAATTAACCCTAAGAGGAAAGCATAAAGATTTGTTTTTTAAAATTTTCAGGTTAAAGACTAATTACGTATTATACAGGGAGAACATGTGTATGCATATGATAGCTAAAGCTATCTGTGCAATATGTATGATTCTTATTAAGAATACGAAATTAGTATTGGCATTGGGATTGAAGCATCGTCACTGATCATCTAAAGATGTTCAGTAGTCTATGTTTTGATCTCAAGTGGCATGGCACTTTACAATCCAAGGTATGAACACAGTTACTTCTTGCAATCCACAAAGGGTTGTAACAATGACTACAGAAAAACGTATGTTGGCTGTGAAGGTGCCATGATTAAAGAAAAATCTTCATATAACTCATTAATCCAAAGGTTTTTGAGTCTATGATATAAAGAAAGGGGATTAAAGAGTAATACTTTTCAAGTTGCAGCCATGAACCCTAGTTCCATAACCTCAACACTGTTGAATCATCAATGGCGTCAACTATAAGAAAAGGAAACAAGACTTGGAAATCGTTATGGTGTCATGGATATGGATTTAGCATTGAGAATTGAGGAACCCCGCTAACTGTCAATGGAAGCACTTCCAGCCAAAGATCAAAGTATGAAAAGTGGCAAAAATCGAATCGAATCTCGCTGATGATAATCAACGAACAATGCCTGATGTTGTTCGTGGAGGATTCCCAGAGGCAACGAATGCAAAAGAGTTCATGAAATCTATTGAGGAAAAGTACAAAGAGTCCGAGAAAACTGAAACTGGCAACCTCATGAATTCACTCACTAATCAGGTATGATGGTGAAGGAAGTGTGCGCCAATATATTCTCAGAGTCATCAACATTGCTTGGAAACTCAGAAATCTTGAGGTACCAATTTCTGAAACCTTTTTGGTGCATGTAATCATGAATTCACTCCCAGAATCCTATACTCATTTGAAAGTTTCTTACAATGCTTTGCAAACCAAAGCCAAATGGGATGTGAATGAGTTAATTTCTTTTTGTGTTGGGGAGGAAGTGAGAATTAAAAGGAGAGAATTGAAAAGGATGAGTATGTGAACTATATTCAAGGTCATACCAAAAGCAACAGGTCAAGGGTGCCAGGAAAGAAAATGCTAGAAATACTCCCATGTCTAGGACTTTCAAACTTAACAATTTTACAGTTTGCAAATGTTATTTTGCCAAAAGGCAGGCCATATGAAGAGAAATTGTCCCAAGTACAATGCATGGCTTGCGAAACAGGAGGCAAATAAAAGTAAAAAAAAAAAAAATATATATATATATATATATTTCAATTTTTTTTTTTGTTTGTTTTGAATCAAATTTAACTGATATGCCTACCAATGCTTGGTGGCTTGCCTTTGGCTCTTCTATTCATGTAACAAATTCATTGCAGGACTTCATAATAAAGAGAACACCAAATAAGGATGAAGTCAAAAGTCTCATTTGGCAATGAAAGAGTTGAAGTCATGGCAATAGAAACTACTAGGATAAAATTAGATTTTAGTTTTTGTTTAGAACTTGATAACATGGTTTATGTACCTTATATTAGAATGAAATTAGTTTCATTTCAAAGTTGGTTTTGCTAGTTTTTTATTTTCTTTGAATAATAAAGGCGTCAACGATTTTGAGTTTTGATTGTGTCAAGAGAAAAATGACAAACAAAAGAAAAGAGGGTTCAAGGAAGAGCAAACAACTTTTAGAAATAATCAATAAAGATATTTGTGGTCCTTTTTCCACACAAATAATTGAAGAAAATAAATATTTCATAATTTTCATAGATGATTTTAAGACTACTGTTACATTTATTTGATTTCTGAAAAATCAAAAGCCTTAGAAGTTTTCAAGATTTATACTATGGAAGATACAGACAAATTGTGGCAGATACCCTTGGCCTTTTGCTTTATTTTTACAAGAACATATAATTGTAGCTCAATATACCATCCCTGGTACACCGGAGCAAAATGAAGTGGCTTAGAGAAGAATTAGAACCCTAATGGACATGGTAAGGAGTATGATTGTAGGACCAATCTACCAGTTGTTTATGGAGTTAGAGATGGACGATCATGTAAGCACAAGAACTGACAATTTTATATTTGAAGAAGATGGTCAAATGGGGAATGATTTAAACATTCACTGACTGCAGCAGCTTTGGTTCAACTTCCAAATCAAATGGAAGAAATTAAGTGGAGGTATTGATGATTCTAATTTTGGGCATGGCACTGAAACTAATGAATTATTGCATGGTGAGCAGCAAACTAATGTGTTGTTGCATGGTGAGCAACAAAATGATGATCATGGAGATTACGTGGAGGTGGCAGCTCCAAGTGGCAATAACCACCGACTGGAGTATGGCACTGAAATTGGGGTGTTGTTGAATGATGAACAACATGCAGGAAATCAGGAAGCACACGTGGAGGAAGCACTGCCAATGGAAGCAACCACCGACTAAACTCACCAGTTTTGGCAGTCGATGATGCTTCACTGCTTCTGAGGAAATCAAATAGGGTAAGAAAGTCAACAATCTCATCAGATTTTGTGTATTTGGAAAGGCCAGATTTTAATTTATCAGAGTTCGAAGATCCTGGGACTTTCAAACAAGCCATCTCGAGTCCAAAAGCAAGCAAACAATTAGAAGCTATGGAGTCTGAATGTCATCAATGGAAGAAAAAAAAAAAAGTATGGGAACTAGTGGAACCAAGAGAAGGCATGAAACCGAAAGGTTGTAAACGGGTGTTTAAGACCAAGAAAGACTCAAAGGGAAATATAAAGAGACATAAGGTCAGATTGATGGCCAAGGGATTCATTCAAAGAGAAGGTACCGATTATAAAGAAACTTCTAGTCCAGTACCAACAAAAGATGCATTCAGAGTAATCATGGCGATGGTGGCACATTTTGACTTGTTTTGCATCAAATGGATGTAAAAACGACTTTTTTAAATGGTGATATGGAGGAAAGTATATATATATATACACGACAACCAGAGAGTTTGAAGGAGAAAGGGAGAGAGCAATTAGATTGAAAAAAAAAACCAATCTATGGTTTAAAACAGGCGTCAAGACAGTGGTATTTAAAGTTCCATCGTGTTGTTAAGGATCATGGCCTTGTGGAAAACCCTTATGATGCCTACATTTACTTGGAAGTCAGTGGGCGCAACTTCATTATTCTGGTACTCAATGTTTATGACATATTGTTGGCAACAAATAGTTTGATTTTCTTAGATGATACCAAGTCTTTCATGTTTGAGATGAAAGATTTAGGTGATCGGCATCGAGATTAAAAGAGAAAGAAGAAAAAAAAAAAAAAAAAAAAAGAAAAAAAGAAGGGATTGTTAGGGTTGTCAAAAAGAAGTTACATTGAGAAAGTTTTAAATAGATTCAACATGTCAGCATGCGGCACAACTGAAATGCCTATATCGAAGAGTGCTAAGCTAAGCAAGGAGCAATGTCTTAGAAATAATTTGGAAAAGGAAATGATGAAGGATAGTCATTACGCCTCATTAGTAAGGAGCTTATTGAATGCTCAGGTTTGTACTAAGCCAAACCTATCTTTTACCATTAGGTTTTTAGGGAGATTCCATTCTGATGCAGGAGAAGCACATTGGAATGCTAGGAAAAGAGTTCTAAGGTACCTGTAGAAAACTAAGTCTCATATGCTGGTTTATAAGAATACTGAAAACTTGGTCTTAGAAGGATACAAATGACGCAGACTTCGCTGATTTCCCAGATGATTTGAAATCAACTTCAAGCTATGTGTTTATGATGGCTAATGGAGCTGTTTCTTAAGGGAGTGCCAAGCAAGACATCATTGCATTCTTCGAGGTTGAGTACTTGTCTTGCTGTGAAATTGTGAATTAGGTAGTTTGGTTCAAGAATTTTATCATTGGTCTTCGTATTGTTGACTCAATCTCAAGACTCATTCAGCTTTACTGTGATAATAGTGCAGTGATTTTCTTCACAAAGAACAATAAGAGATACAATACTACAAGGAACCCGGAGATTAAGTTTTTTGTTGCTCGTGAAAAGGTGATGATTGGTTTGGTTAAAATCAATTATTTGGAGACAGGTTCTATGATAGCATATCCGTTGAACAAGGCCATTGCAAAGGCAATATTCAAGAAACATACAAGGAAGATGGAAGTGCTGGAAGTTTTTGGTACTGCAGAAAAGTGGGAGTTTAGATCATGTTTAAGACATTTGTTCTTGGACATTGGTTGATTCAGGTATTTTTTGGAATATGCATTAAAGTATTTATGTTTAGATCATCTTAACTAATAAAGTAATACGCTGCTAGTTGCAAAGGTTTCCCAGAAATTGCAGTGTTATAGTTATGATACAGATACATTATGAAAGTGTATTTTGGATGACAATTTGTTTGAATTGTTGTAACAAAAAAAGCAACTTAAGGGTCTCAGTACGAGACAATAAAGTGGACTAGTTTACTGGTCTTAAGGGAGGACCATAATGCAAGTGCATTAAAGAAGCATTCATATTTGCATCTTGTATTATTTTTCATGTCTTGATGGAGTTTCATGTG